ACATTGCCGTCTCCCATGATACCTGATCCTGCTCCACACATCGGGTGTTTTGGGTTAAAACAATGACCGGGGGGTTCTTTGTTGTGAGTTGGGATCGTTCACTGGGGTGCAGGAATGTAGGTGGTTGAGTTTTTGCATGTGTGAAGGAGTGATTTTCTGGGCCTCCAACTCTTATCAGTATAAGATGCAACCCCCCCAAAGTCTGCATCACTATAGGCTTTAATTTACATCCTCTGTTGCCCTCAGGACAAAGCTTTCATTCATTTGAACTGAACATTTCCAGTTTGTCTTGTTCTGTCATGCCGCCTCCTCTCCTGCCTACTCAGATCTTTTTTAGTTGAATGTGTTTTTAATAGACCTTATCCACATACTGGTTATTTTGAACATGAGGTAGGGAATGAAGATACCATTACCTAAATACAAACATGAGGACTGTAAAAAGAGACACCTGCAGATCATAGCATGTAGCTCACATTTACATAAACTATAAAAATATAGTTTATGTAAATGTGAGCTAATAAATACTGTTGGTTTTGTAGCAGCAAACATTTGAACTTGAACTGCTAGAATTTAGAGTAATGATGTTGTGGCCAGGTTGGAGGTGCTCCTCCACCCATCTGTTAAAGCTAGCTAAAATGAGAGCTGAATTTAGGGAAATGATTTGAGATATTTTATGTTCCCAATGCAAAAATCTTCACTGAAAACACATTTTTTAAAGTCTGGGAAGAATATTGGTACATTGGCAGTATATATTAAATATTAAACAGGTTTCATTTTCTTGTGCAAGAATTAGTGTTTTCCTTAAAGCTGCATTCATTTACTTCTTTTGCTGCCATAGTTAACCATGGGAGCTGTTTACACAACACTTAACGCCTTTTAGTTTTAACGTGTTAGCAAACAGTTGCTTATTTACACATCCAGATGATACAGAGCAACATTAGCATCCATTTTGAGTCCTATATCTGGTCATCTAAAGAATATAAGTGCAGTATTCATCTTCTGTTGGACTTAACTCCTGAGGAAATTGCTGGCTCTGCCGAATGTTCCACTATGTTCACAAGCCAGTCGCTGTGTCTGTTCACTGGTTGGTGCTGGGCAAGTAGCGTACAGTGGGTTTAGTTGGACTGTTTTGCTAAAATCTTGCTGCGTCTGTAAACAAAGCTCCTGAGAGCGGTGAGAATGAACCAGAAAGTTGAAGACAAACATGTCAAATCAAAACAACAAAAATAACCACTAAAGACATAAAATAGTAAGTCCACACTGGCACATTTTGATTTATTTTAGGTCCCATTGAGATCAGAAACCCTCTTTTATAAAGAAGACACACCTAAGATAGCAGCCATACAAAATCACAACATAATATACAAACAACTATTCAAACACAATGGCTTCAAGAACAACCACATGCCCCCATCAACACGCTTTGTGATAATAAAAAAAAAAAGTGTCCACTTTTAGATCTTTTTACTGATTCAATGCCCATGGTGCATTGTAAGAGAATTTGGTTTTATATTTTATACTACTTTTATTTAATGTTAGTACTTTAAATAACTTTGCGTGACTCGTGTTTTTTGGGCTTTTTACAAGCTGTTAAAATCTATTTTATGTGCATTACCTGTTTGTGTGCTTAATGAGAACCATGCATTTACTACGTCCACATTAGAGTTTACTCATTTACCAGTATACTACAGTATTTTATTTTATTTTATTTTATTTTATAATACACTTTATATTCTGTCTCATATACCTCCATGATGTTGGAGCGACCCTGGGAACAAGAATTTCATTACCCGCAGCTCTTTCACTGGAATTGTTGTGCATATGACAAACAAAGAAGTTGAAGTAGAGCTGAGGGGAATGGCAGCGTTTCATGTTTTTGTCATTACACATAGAGTCATTCAGTATATTATTAACAGAAATATTGAGTTGTGCAGCTTTAGAAGTGTGGAATAATGTGCTGCTAGACTTTCTGCTAATATGACCACATTCAATTCAGCTGTGTTACTGAAATGATGTTTGGTCCTACAGAGTCAGATTACAGTCATGACTTTTACAGAAAAGTGACTTTAGGGCCTTTTCAAAACGTGAAACCAATATGGAAAATCTGCAGAACATTCACAGAGTGAAGTGCATGTCCAACAGACATACAGACACACATATCCAAATGTGAAATTATTTCGGTTTAAACATAAATCGAGTTTGCTCTGGTGAGAGAAGTAAACAAAAAACATGTTTTAAACTTAAAGCCCATGAAAATTTAATTGGCAAATCTCAAGTTTCTCTAAAAACAATAAATATTAATGACTGAATAAGAAACAAAGGTTTTTTGGTATTTATTAGTTAGCTAAATGCAAAAAATAATAAAATACTGAGCCCAGGCCACTTCAAAGCGGTTAGAAGAGCACACAGAAAAACTCCAATACAGAAATCTCTTGTAATGACAAAAAACACCCCCACTGTTTTAGCTTAGGCAGAAAGTGTGTTGTAGGACGCCATCTCTTTTGTAAGAAGCCAATTGAGAAAATATGTTCTCAGGGTCTTTCATGGCAGGACTAAGCATTACCTACATTTTAGCTGACACACATCACTTCTTGCTCGAGTGCACGTTTGTTGATGGATACACTGGGATTTAAACTGTGACCTTTCAGTTTCCAGGCAGCCTCTCTAAATCCTAGAACAGTCCTCCGACCCTGGTTTGTTTGATGTCTTTTCCACCCTCAGAGAGCACCTGGAAGGAAAACCCGGTTCCCGGTTTTAATCATGCATGTGTCAGACTTGGAGTTCAGGCAATTCTTCCACTTCATCGCTCTAATGAAAAATGAATTATTGCCTTAGTCGCATTGAACACCCATGCATATCACCTGAGTCTCATGACGACAAAAAGAAAAGAAAAAAAAAGTTATGTCTTTGGTACCTGGAGAGTGATGAATGTGGGTCAGAATGAGTAGTTTCATGCCAGAACAAGATGTGCACTCTGCTTGAAAAAGTGACACCTCATCCAAAAATGGCTTCTATGATGAAGGAAAAATGTATAAAATTGCACCTCAGCAATTTCACATTTGCCAACAAAACAATTGAACTGTGAACTTCTGGCAACTTTATTTCCTCCTCATATAATGAAATCTCTTTACTTGTCTTAATTATATTTGATATTATAAAGTGGACATTGCAGGAAATCCGGCCAATTCAAATAGTATATAAAAAAAAAAAAACACAATTGCAACGAGAGACTTGAGACTGTTGTGGTACCAATTACACAGATGTCAGCTGATAGGGAAAATGCCTGAGAACCAGTTAGCAACCACAGAATACAAAAAATATTTACTTGGAGAAAAATCTCACAAGTACTTTCAAGTCCAAACAAAAGCCTCTTCAGGAAAGAAGTGTGTATTACAATGAAATTAAACCAATAAACAATATGAACCCTGCAGGCAGCAGGTAATTGGTGGGCAAAACAAAACTCTTGCATCAATGGCACCAAGATCTGTCCTGATCTAACCTTGTGGAAAGGCGTTCTTTAACATCTACTCACACTAGGTTTCAGAACGCTCAAAACAACTTTCATTCAGAGAACAAAAGACAGCAAAGAAATCTCAAAAGGGACTAAAACCAGTGTTTGGGGCTGACAATTTCTGCTTAAGTAAAGACTTCCCCAAGTTGAGGAAGGTTTAGAATGCCTCCGGTGGGCTGTTCTCCACCTCTCCTATGCATTAAAGGAAGGGCATCGTCACACCCTGATTGGCCAAGAGGGGAATGCACCAAGCTGCTCTCAATCATTGTTCAGGAGTCAGTCCACACACTCTGTACAACAGGTGATCTGAATAACCCTCAAATCAAATTTTGAAGTTTGACATCCAGTTAAAATGAATTGAGGGGAAAAGGGGAAATTAAATGACAGCAAGTACAAAAGAATGAGGCACAGCTTCAAGCTCATGAACTTAGTTTCTCACAGTCTGATCACTACTAAAATACTGGACACTAATTACTGCAAAGGAACAAAATGAAACAGGAATCATGTTTCGCTTATACACTGTGTGCTAATGCTGAGAATACTACCTAGAACGGTCTCTTTGTCCCAGCAGTCTTTAGTGAATATCCCCACCGTGACCTGTAAATAAAGATGCTTACAAATGTCTTCTGGGGATGTGTGGTTGCCATACTTATTTATTCCAAGAGGCAACTGCATCTCTGATACCTTCCTTACTGCCACAGGCAAAGTATGCAGGGAAGTGTGCATAGGTAAACAAGGACAGCTCAAAGTCTTTTCATTTGTCCCACTTCTGTGTGCCCGGGTGAATCTGTTGTGAAGGTGAATCTTGGTGGTGCTACGTGTTCAGACTTTAAACCAAGCAGCCACTCCATAAATTAAACATCACAGGTCACACAAATTTCCCAATCACTGACAGCAGGTATTATTTTTTATTAATAAAGAAATTAGCTTCATATTCACACTGAATGGTCATTTACCACCCTTTTATAGTTTGAATGGCCAGACAAATGTGAAATCTCAACAGCTATTCAGAGGTTGGAACCAAAGAAAAATGACACAATGGGCTGATTTAGCAAAACTGTTTTTACAAGAAAAAAATTATTTGACATTAAGGCCCTTTTAAAGTACCTCATTGCTGTTGAACAAAAGATATATTTTAAATTCTAAATTGCTGCATTGACCAACATATAGGCTTTTGAGAAAATGTTAAAAATGCTTTTGAAGTAATTCACTCAACAGGTCCAAAAAATAGAGAACTTAAATTACATAGAAAACCAATTACCTGGGCGTGTTATTCTTTTTTTCCCCTTAAAACTGGCAAGAACACTATCAAATGTTAACACTTTTTGCTGGATTGGAAGGCATATCAACTGTCCGCTGCTAATTATGTTTAGTCTGCCTCATTGACTCTGACTGTGTTCCTCTAGTTTTCATATTTCATTTTATCCTGGCCCTGTGTTTAGCTGCTTTCCCAGCGTTAAATCGAGCCTGTTATTTGTTCTCCTCACAGAGCCAGGCCTTGGCCCACTACAAGGGTACCAAACATGCCAAGAAGCTAAAAGCCCTGGACACTCCAAAGAGTAAGCTCAAAGGCTCAGTGGTCACCAAGGAAACCACCAACCAGGAGATCGCCAAGGGCATCAACACCTCGCAGGTCCCCAACGGCACCGACAGGAAAGGTTTGTGTTTTCCTTCCTGCTGCAAATTCCCCAACACATGTTCTTTGTTGTTTTCTTTATGTTTTCTGCTGCTCTTCTGGTGAGAATGACTGTTGGACCCAAATGCATCTTTTTGGCATTTTATATTTGCTGCACACAACATGCAATCACTCTAGGAGTTGGATGGACTCACTGTTGATTATATCAACCCTGTGTTGGCCGGTGTGCCAATTGTGGCTGCCGACTCAGTGCTCATATATTGAATTTGTAGGGGTGGGAGATATCTGCAGGACACACAGGACAGTCAGACATAGGGGGGAGGAGGAAGGTCCTCAGTATGCTTCAAACAAAGTGCTTGTCAGATCATCAAGGCCGTGTTCAGACAGACAGCAGTGCTGAAACGTACAAAACGTGGCTCCCTCATTTGTTGGGACTAACAGTCGAAACAGCAGGGGTGCCAGTGTGGAGGAATCTGATGAAAAAAGAAGGGTTGTCAATAGGGATGCACGATATATCGCCATTAATATCGGTATCGGC